GGGCTCCGGGCGGGCCGGAGAGTGGAAATGGGAAGCTCATTAAAGAGACGCCTCTGCCAGAGGGGAGGAAATGCGAGGAGGAGGAGGAGGAGGAGTCGCTGGTGCTTGTGTCTGTTCCAAATCCCCAAAGTGAGCGAGCTCCCGGGATTTTTCCTGGAAGCGGGAGCCGCATGAGAGGTACCAAGTGTCACCTCAGCGCATCACGAGGGGAACCAAGTGGAGGTGTCAGCAAGGAGTGCTGCTCTAACCCTGCTGAGCCCGCAGCCCCGGGCGGGTCAGGGATAAACAGCAGCGAGGAGGGATGGGGGGGACCAAAATGGGGCAATTTGAGCTCTGCGGTGTGGAAATACAGCTTTATTGGAATGCAAATGGTGGAAATCAGTGTTAGCTCAGCGGGTCAGAGCACGGTGCTGACAACACCCGGGCTGTGGGTTTGATCCCTGGTTGGGATCCCTTCAGAGCTGGACTCGATGATCCTTGGGAGCCCCTTCCAACTGAAAGATTCTGTGATGGCAGAGCATGTTCCAGTGGATACCTGACTTGTTTCCCTCTCCCTCATCCTCCATTCTGTCCTGTTTTGCTGACACAGGATCGTTTTTAAGCAGTTGACCCAGCCCAAGTGCCCTGAAGCTGCTCCAAAAGAGAAGGGCATCACATTTATTTCCCATTTTTCCTTGAGATTCCCCTTTTCTCTGCCTTCTCCAGCCACAGGGCCAGTCCTCTCCCCTTTTTTAAAAAAGAAAAACCCCCACCCAACCCTCTGTGAACTGAATTTTCACATCATTACCTGGCAGCAAGAAGCCAAACCGAGATGAAACTGGATCCCCTTTTAATGCACCCTCAAAAACGATCTGCACAAGCCAGATTTGGCATTTTCTTTTTGCAGCCTTCTCTCACTAAGCCCTCGTGAAAGCCTGTGGTGACCCATATGGGAGCTGGAGCTTTGCCCTGCATCAAGGTGTTGAGTCAACAGGAAAGTGTGTCACATATAAATATATATATAT